TTTTTGATCTTAGAATGACCATTAATAATCTTTCAAGAGAGAAAACAGCAAAGGTATAAGAAGTCATTCTAAAATCATATCTGCATGTTCTTTCAGTCACTTGAAGGCATAATTCATCTGAGCATACAGATCTACTCCAAATTTCTAAAATGGAAAGAAATTCAATTCCAAAACAAGGGAAAAGAAAAAGCTAGACAATGATTACCAGAAAGAAATCTAGAATGAACTAAATAGGTGTTCTGCAAGGATCTAGCATGGATTCTCTATGAGTATATTATAATAAACTAATTTAATTTCCTTTTTTGATAGGAGTACCAGATTAATAGATAAAGGGAATGTCATGTGTAGTCATCTTAATTTCAGCAAGATTTCCAATGGGCTTTCAAATAGTGCAGAGTAAAATGGGCTGTTGTGTGAAGAGAATCTAACCAAACAATCATGCCCTAAAAGTGTTGATTAATGGATTGATATTAGCTTGGAGGGACATCTCTAGTAGTGTACTATGACCCTGTGCTCATCAAAATTTTTATCAGTGATTTGGATGAATACATAAAAGTTTTCCTTATTGAATTTGCAGATGACACAAAGGTAAGAGAGCTAATACATTAGATTACGGACTCTTGATTCAAAATTATCTCAAGCTGAAATTCTGGGCTGAAACCCACAAGATGAAATTTAATAGAATAAGTTTAAAAGCTCAAAAAAATCAGTTGTACCAGTCCAGAATGTGGAGACTTGTTTGGCTTGACAGCCATTCATGTGAAAAAGACCTGGGGTTTTAATTGATTATAAACATAATGTGAGCCAACAGTGTGATCTATCAAAAAGAAAAAAGCCTAATGTATTAACAGAAATGCACTTTGCAGATCACAGGAGGTAACATAACCACTGTACTCTTTACTTGTCTGACCACATCTGAAGTATTATGTTAAATTCTGGGCACCACATTTACTTAGAAGAGACTTTGATCAACTATAGTATATTCAAAAGAGGGCAACCAGGGTAGTAAAGAATTTGGAAACTATGTCTCAAGAGGAATGGCTAAAGGAACTGAGGGATGTTCAGAAAAATGTTTTAAAGACCATGAAGGACGTGATTGCTGTCTTCCCATTTGAAGGGCTCTGATGTAAATAGAATGCCCCTCGGATTACAGAATCGTAGAATGATAATTGAAAAGACCTCCAACATATGGGTTACTCCACAGGTCAGAAGAAAAACAATGTGAAAAGTCACAAAGAAGCAAATGAGAGTCAATATGAGGGAGAAGAACTTTCTAACTATTTAGAGCTACCCTATCAGCTCAATGGAGTGGAAGTAAAGGGCTTTGAATGCCCCGAACATTCAAATACAGAGTCAAAAAAAAAAAGATTCATGGCCTGGATATGGATTTAACTAGATGAACATCTAAAGCCCTTTCTAGTTCCAAGATCTTATGCTTCTATGATTTTAAAACATTGAATACACACACAAAAATAATTTGTTTTTCTTTTAACTTTACCAAATTACTCTTATAGTCAGTTGGATTATGACTCATTTTTAGAAATGGATCCATTTGTGGATATGTGCATGGCCAAATGGAAAGAAACATCTTTCCATGCAAACCCATTAGATTAGTTGGTTAAGGCTTCAAATAACAAGACAAACAAGAAAGACCCAGTTCTGGTGTTTTCTTTTGCCTTTCTAATACATCAAAATCAAAATTTCAAAACATAAACATCATTTATAAAAAAGATTTGATTAATGCATTTGTTGTACATGTGACATGGGCTGCTTCTGCATGGCTCAGATTGCCAGAGTGCCATGGTTTCCTCATTTGAATTGGTCATTGTGTTGGGATCTCACATAACAGGAAATAGTCTTGGGGTGGGGGAAGGAGAAGGGATGTTAATAAAAATTTATTGTTAGTGTTAATGTTAATAACGTTGGTAAAAAAAAAATTTATGCATTGTGCTTTAATTAACTATTTGGAATTGAGGTGAGGAAGAGGATGTCCTTGTCTTTGAATCCCCAACTGAACAATACCTTGCATCTTCTAGAGGCTTCATAAATGTTTTCTGATGGAATCCAATTGAAATTCTTTTTCATCAGTAGTAGATGTTTTTCAAAAGTATGTTTGTGTTTTGGACTTTTTTTGCCACTTCACAGATAGGGAAACATAGAGATAGAAATGTGTATAGGTATTGTGTATATTTGTCTATGTATATGTCCTTATATACACACATGTAGATATATGCATACCGTATGCATGTATCTTTGGGGTGAAGTCCAGAACTGTGATTTCATGAGTGTAAGGAAATTTCAGTGTGGAATTTTCTTGTTCCAGTGGATGTTAGTATAACAATTAACAACTGGCCTATAACTTAACAGTTTTAGGGAGTTGCTTGAGAGTGTTTAGAGTTTAAAGTAACTTGTCCACAGTCTCATATGTGGTATGCAGTTCAATTCAATGTAGCATGCATTTGTGAGATACCTACTATGTGCTGGATGTTGTACTCAACACAGGAAATACAAAGACAAAAATTAAGTACTTCCTGTCCTTGAGGAACTTACATTCTGGAGAGGGAGGACAACAACACGAACATAGATAAGTAATGAGAAAATATGAAGTATATACAAATTAATTGGAGGCAAGCACTCACATTTTAAAGGGGAATGAGAAAGGAAAGCATTCCAGGCCTGACGGAATAGATTGTGCAAAGGCAAGGAGTCAAGAGATAGAATGTAGTTTGCAAGGAACAGGAAATGAGCCAATTTGACTTGTATTTAGAGTATGTAAGGGAGTGCAATATGTAATTAACCCAGAAGCATAGTTTAGGACCAGATAGCAAAGGGCTTTAAAGGCCAAGAAGAAAAGGTTTTGATCTTAGAGACAAAAGGTAGCCTCTGAGGCTTCTTGAATGTCATAGTCGGACTTGTGTTTTTTGTAATGATCTCCAACAAGAAGCAAGAGGGGATGAGGGTATTGGCAGAAGCAAGACTGACTCTCAATTATACAAGGCTGACCCCATCTACTCTGCCATGCTGCCTCTTACATATACACATATCATAGATTTTATGTATATATACATGCTTATATATATACTTGAATGGTAGGAGAAATTTCTTTGTAATTGTGATGCTTCCAATTGCTTGGCTAAAGTGGAATTTGATCTTAGTAAAGATCGTTACAACCCTTCTTACCATTTAGCAGAAATCAAAGATGAAACTATGCTAAAGTTGTGTGCAGCAGGAATCCAATAGAAAAAGGTAGAAAGTGTATATGCCACCTCTAACTCTTTCTTCTTGTAATTTCCTGGATCTTTTTGTATTGGGTTTGGAAATCTCATTAGCGGTTGGGGAGTGGCAAAGGGTGAATTCAGTTAAATGGTAAAACTGTTTGCTGATGGCAGAATAACAGAGTTGTAGTGAAGTTAGCTCATATTCAAATATTATGCATTATAGAGAATGTCTTTTTATATGAACACAGATTCAAAGAAAGTACTTGGTATGACCAATTACTCAACATAGAAAATTTATTGTAACCAGATCAACATGGCATGGTTAGTGTGGACCATATGCTGGAATATGGAAACAGCTGTATTATACAGAATCTTCTTTGTAATGGGATTTTGCCTTTATCCTTAAACTTGGTGATAACTGGGCTTACTTTGTCAGTTGTATGCAGAATACGCTTCAAGGTAAATTACATGCATTTGATTCTACTCATCTGCCAAATTATATCCTCCCTAAATCTCTCCCATCTCACATTAACTGACAATGACATGTGTATGTGTGCACACATATGTACATATGCTCATACAGAGGGGTGTATGTGTACATACAAACACCTATGTATAATATGTGCATAAGTTGAGGGTAACTGATAAGCCTTAAACCCATCAGTGAGTTAGGAGAATGTCTACTCCCCAAGCATGTGAAAACTTTCCCCAGCACAATGGACAGATGACAACAATTTGTTCCAATGTCCATGAAGGCAGCTGTGGAATGCTACAAACTTGGTTGGGAATCAAAGACACCAGGTCTTCCACTGCATCCTGGACCATCACCAGTTGTTCTGACTTTTGTCTTGCCACTGGATTTCAATAACTCTGGAAGAGTGAGGCTGGTGACTGTGCAATTCTGGCTCACTTAAATCCAATTCGTGCATATGTCAAGACATCACCTGGGATGTCATTGGTCCTCTTTGAAAATGAAGGACAAAAACAACACGTGTACATATAATTTTTTAACATGAGACAAAGTATATGTATAACTCCTAGAGCAAAAATAGTACTCATACCTTTATAGATATCATTTGTTACAAATTCAGTGGCAAGCATAAGAAATATCCATTTGGAGATGCAAATTACTTTATTATTATGATCAATATTTAATTCCTAATGATTGCTGCAAATCAAATCAAATCAGCCATCTGACTGCCTTAATTGTTAAATCAATACTAATGGGGGCACAGAGTGGGGGAGAGTGTTGCAGGCACCTGCGTCACTGACAGTATTTATTTTCCAGCAAGTATGAGAGAGAGAAAGATATACATGGGCCAGGTGGGTAACAGGTCCAGAACCAGTTTCGTTTGTTGATCTGAGGGCTAGTGTTTTTATACCCCATTCATGGGAACAGAACCCAGAGTAGCAAAGGCAAAAGTATCAACAATCATTTTTCTCATGGAAACGGTAACTGGGGGGAGTCCCCCCTGAAACATCTCCTCGCTTCCCAGTTATCTTTCAAGGTCCTTCTGTTCTCAAGACAAAGCCAGAGCAAGGGAGGGCTTGGAGAGCCTACTGTTCTGACTTAGATGGCCCTCAGACTAAGGACAGGCTGCAGGTAAAACCCGGCATGGCCTAAATCCTCAAACCCATCAGTGCAAGCCCTCTAAAGGAGAGAAATTGTCATCAATAATTAAATAAAAGTAGTAACTTGCTTTATCTATCTATATTAATTATCTACTTTGCAACAGATTATGTTGGTTATAATGACTTATAATTCTAATTATTTTCACATAGGATTGTGGTTTAAAGATTCACCCTGAAGAAACCTGTGGATTACAGCCTCTGTCATCTGACTACATTGCAACCATTTCCCAGCCTGAACTAAAGATTTGTAAGTCTGGGGATGCCAAAGGTGAGTCTTACCCTGTATATCACTCCTATTAAGAAAGAACATTTATATAAATCAGTATATAATTATTTTAATTATCCACGGACATAAATCAAGCAAATGTTCTTGCTTTTAGAAATCTCCAGGTTGAACTGTCATTCAAGTTTTTATTTTTGTTTTAATAACTTTAAAACAATACAAAGGCAATCATATATTTGTCATTGTAGATAAGGATTTTCACATTTTCATGACACATATTTTTTAAATCCTTTAATTAAAAATTAAATTGAATATACATTCTTGATATTTTTGAGTCACCATAGATCTCTCTGGGATTCAAGATCAGTTCAAAAAAGCTTCTACTGGTTACGTGGACATTTGAAAAAGACTTACTTTTAGTTGCAGGAACTTTGTGAATAATCAGCAGTGAAAGGATATATATTTTCATGTACCCCAAAATGGTTACACATTGAAAACTATAGCTGAAGTTCTCCTATAAAAGGCAAGAAAATTGTTGGACCAATTTCAAGCTGCAGGGTCAGGAATGCACATGAGGTGTAGCCAATATTAAGTGGAAACACTTCACTGGTACAGTTTGTCTCCACCTTCATTGTTTTCCTGGCCCCAACCACCTATAAGGGTTTACACACACACACACACACACACACACACACACACATACCACACCACCCTTCTCATCTGTTGGCCTAGAATAAAGAATGAAGAAATATCAGGAAAGAGGGATTTCCCTTGGAAATCAAGAGGAATCATGAAGATTGCGCAAAGGGTTAGATCCGTGGTTACTGCCCTGCCCGCCTGACCCCCTCATGCATCTTCTCTCATCCAAAAGATCTGAGAAAAGGTTCAGAAGCCAGTCTAGCCTTGGCATGAACTTCACACTGCAGCTTGAACTTGAAACAATAAGTTTCTTAAATGGGTAAGGCAAATTGCAATTTCGCATGCACAGTTTATAAACTGAACCATGCCAGCTACGTGCAGATCACCCTTCTCCAACATGTGTTCTAAATAATGAATTACAATAATGTCAAGGGAGAGAGAGATCGATGCAGTGTGCTGTATGATTTGTGATTCCCTGATCAGTGAGGTGTGCTCAGACACAGGCATAAGAGACATTGATGTGTCCAGCTAAATATTTTCATCAGATAGTGATTTATGACCATCACAAAGCTGTATAATTCTACTTTGGCTACTAAATCAAGGCAAAAGCTCCTCAACTAAGATAGTCCAAGTCACATTATTGGAATTCTTCTACCACCAGCTGGTCCTGCTCTTTATTTAAGTTGTAGTAAGTTTACTTCAAATACCCACAGAGTTGTCTTAGCATCTGTGTCTTATGGGGTAGGCTGACTCCGGGGTAGACCTGGTTTATCCTGAATTCCATCTTATGGCAGATGGTGTTAAATAGTGAGACACTAGTATAGAAATAATTTCAACAAACATTTGTTAAGCACTTACTGTGTGCAGAGCACCTCGACAGACCCTGGAGAGATATAGTGTAGGTTCCAGAAAGCACAAAAGCTAAGAGGAAAAGGGCAGGGAAGAGGGGGCAAGAGTTGGGCAGTATTTACCAGGAATGTTATTACTTTTTATGTCAGAAAGGCTTCCCTGACACTAGAATTCGCTCTTGCCAAAGGGAGGGGAGGTCATGGTAAGTGGCATTAGGAGGAAGCTTTTCCTGCTGCTAACCACATAGTTGATTCCAGAACCCTGGTGGAACTGTTGGCCACTTCAGATTTGCTGGGGAGACATTGTTTTTCTATTACATTGCAAAGTCATTTGGCCAGATTGGAATCCATTACCTCACTTTGCCAATGGTTCAGTTGCCAAAATGTCATTTCACTTACCATCAGCTAAACACACTTTTGGGATAATTGGTGTTTTTCTCATGTTTAGTTCCTAACTGGCCTTCAAAATACAACATAATTAATTTTACAACCTAAGACTGAAATGTGTTACTTGATTAAATAATGAAGATAAATACACATAGATTTGGACAAAGAAAGGAACATTTAAAGAATAATTATAGAATGGGAATTCCCCTTCATGGAAGCAATTTTGATTATAGCCATACAGTAGAAAAATATTTGGAAACATTTTATGAAAAGTGATTTTTTAACAGGGAAAGGAAGTAAATTTATAGTGCCTTCATTATAGAATGCAACACATTTTCCTTGGTGTAAATTAAATTTTACTTTATAAGTTTTGTACAATCAAAGTCAATGGCATATCTTCTACTATTTTACATTTCACAATGATTGTTAAATGGTGAATTTCTCTTACACTTTTTCCTAGTTGCATTGCCTTAAGATGATGTATCAAACCAATTGAAACTTGACTTGTTCTAAATATAATGCAATCATTACAAATACCAGCACACGTCCCAAAATACAGTGGTCATTTTAATTCTTCACAGTGTCATTTCCTAAAACACATGTTGCCTTTTATTTTGGGAATTGCAGCTTTGTTTTATCCAATGTTCAGATACTTAATGTAGAATTTATATTTCTATTCTTTGACATACTGTTAAGAGTTGGTGTGATTTATAATGTCAAGGAACCTAAATCCTACAGATGTTATTCAGATGATGATTTCAAGCAGCATTACTAATTCACAATAATAAAAAGCATTATTACCAAATACAAAAATGCAAGGAGTTTGAGTGATTTAAAAATATATACTTATATGAACCATTTGGGGCAGATTTTCGAAGAGATTCAACCAGGCCTTCTCCTTTCAGTGTGCATGCAATTTTGTGCCCACAAACTAATTGCACCCATATTTGATTAATTGTGCTTGCAACTGGCTGCTTGTTTCATCAGCCTGAGGGGCAAGTGGCCAGTGAGGCCCTCTGTTTGCATGCACACTGTGCTGCTGCCTGCAGGGGTTTATTGTATATATATGCGTGTGGTATGTGTGTTTAAGCCTAAAACAGGAGACCACCTCTTAGAAACTTGGTCCTTTGTTCCTTGAGAAATATTATCCTCATATACAAAACACTATCTCATTAACAGGAACACATTTGTGCCCCATTGTAGAACAATCTTGTAAAAAAAGAAGGAAAGAAAGAAAGTTATTGACTATTCTCATAAACAGGCTGTGTCAACATGTAAATTGAACTGACCAAATTCAGTGGGTTTTTTAGGTTGAAGTCATTAGAATAACTTTTGTCTCATTTATATGCTACTAAAAAACCTATTGGTCTGCTTTTCACTTTTCAACTGGCAATCTTGGCATTGTTTTGGCATTTAACATGGTCACTAGAGTACTGACGGGAATTTTAATGAAAAATGTGAAAAAGGAAGATAGACTTTTGCAAATGATTTATTGTAACAGAGTCCATCTCTGTAGCCACACCACTGACTGAAAGATACAGAGAATACAAGATTCCTCTTCTATTCATTATTTGTTGGTTTGTTTTTTGCCTAGATCGGTGATTTCCTTACTATAGTGAACTCCCTGGTAAAGAGTTTCCCTCTGTCAATATAGATTAGTAACTACTGTGCAACTCATAGTCTTAGAATTACCTAGGGAAATGATAGGTTAAGTGACGTGCCCAAGGTCACAGGTTTTATGACCTATGTACAAGAAACAGAATAAGAGAGATTATTCAAGAAATGTCTAATCAGAAACCGTTAATCATGTGCAAGAGCAAGAGATCCCAGATGGACAGCCTAGGTGTTGGACTGGTACTTATGAAAGAGGAAGGGACATATTGAGTCAATTTCTCTGGGTGATCTATAATATTCACACAGGAAGAGAAGGCAATGGTACATTATAATCTATATTCTGCTTTTTTCCCTCCTTTCTTCTGTGACTCTTTTTTCATCTTCCATGTTTTCCATTCCTGATGTCTCCCTTTCTCCTTTTTTTCTCCTTGGGACTAATTTAGAATGAATCTTATCTACTTACTTAACCATTACCTTTTTTTTAACCTTTCAAAGAACCACTCCTTAAGCTAATACTCCTAAAGCAGGTTCCTGATGAACATTCAAAGGGAACATAACTTTGACCCCCAACTACAAAATTCACAAATTTTATCTTTTACATGAGGACCTAAAACCTAGTCACTTTTATAATGGCATCTCCACCTACCTTCTGGTAACTGAAGGATTCTCCAACTGGAATATTGAAAAGCAAAGCAAAACAAAATGCATTCAATTTGTAATTACCACTGTACCATTCAATCTGGGACATCAGTCTAGATCATAACAGTCTCAAAGGTCAAAGATAGAATTGATAAAAATGTTCCATGGGTAGTCATTTCTGGTTCAAAAGATAGAGTGTTTAATAAAATAACTGGGGGAAAGAGGAAAAGGACAGTAATTACAAATGAAAGACTCTATTACAAAAAACATGATTATTCTGTGAGGAGGTAATGTGGCAAAATGAATACAGGGCCTACTACAGAATTAAGAAATCATTGGTTCAAGGCCTACCTCTATTCACTTAATCTCTCACCACCCAAGGAAACTGTCATAGATGGATTTTCAGATCTGCGAAAGTAGAGGGAGTCTCCATAATAGGCAATCCCCAAACAGATGAAAAACCAGGGTCAGACCAGGGCAAAGGGGGTATCCACCATTAAAAAAAGAAGGATAAATAGCCATTCAGTAAATATTTTCATTTCATTTACTCTGCTTCTGACAGTGAAAATTGAAAAGAACAGCATAAAAAATTTCAAAATTTGCTAATGAAGCATCTTATTTATGCTTAAACATTGTAGATGGATACAATTTATCTAAAGTATCTGTGTAAATAAGGCCATTCTTGCAGGGTGTTACTAGCACGTATTTGCACATGTACAATGGATAGAACATTGCATAGTGTATGCATTCAAAATTGTTGAATAAATTGATAAATAAATGAGTTAGAAATAAACTTTTAAGTAAAACAAAAATGCCATTAGAAGAAAAGAAATTTCAAAGAAGTTTAACTTTTATCCCCTCAGGACAGTGGATTGTACCATGCCTTAGCTGTTCAGACAATAGGACCTGTGATTGGAGAGAAATAACATGGCAGCCTCATAACTGCCAGCACAGTGTCCTATCAAAGACTCAGATACAGCACTGTCTGGGAAGAAGAAAGGTAGGTCTCAGTCTCAGTAGGAGACACCCATTTATTTGTGCTATCTACAACACAAACACGCACACTAACAAACATTGACTTTCATAGGAGAGCACTTGGCCAACTTTAAAACACTAGAAAAATGTGAATTACCATCTTCATTATAGCACCAAAAGCCACACCACTGTATTTGTTGTTATGTGCATGGTTTTATTTTTCAATGGGTGCCAATAAAACAGACTGAGTGTATGATTACTACATATACGTTATCATGAGAGATCCTTAAAAATTCCCGACCCATTTTTTTTCAATGATTTGGAATTTAAGCTTTTATAGCCAGACACGGGCTGATATTGAAATTGCACCCTACCTCCCAACTGCTCTGTTTCCACACTGTCATTTCAGCATGAAATCAACTGGGGGAGCTTGCCACGTTGACTAGCAATTGGCAGCATGGAGCAACTGAGTTTATCAACTGCAGCTACGGTAGACACTGCTATTAAAACTGACATCTGTAGTTCAGCATAAGAAACCACATGGTTCCATTCGTGAGTCTCATTTCTACTGTGATATACTGAATGCATGGCACTGCTCTTACATACTAACCTTGCTGATCTTCTTTCACATTCCTGGGCAGGTCTCGCATGGACCTCACTAGGCTGAATTTTCCTTTAGTGAGGCTTCTAAGCTGGTTTCTTGGAAATACACTCCTCTTGATAGGCATGCTTTGACTGTGTAGCATTTGACAGACATCTCTAATTAGTGAATCGGGCACACAGACTGAGATGCATATTAACCTAAAGTAAGTAATACATCCTTCTCCACACTTGCAGTTTTTTTTTAATGAGATGAACATGGTATTTTCAGTTGTTTCTAAGATATCCTTTACTTAGAAGGTTGGAAACTTAATTAACACTCAAAATCAATTTTGATACATGAAGTGAAAAGAGATCGGAACTGCAAACCTGTCCTCATCACTGAGAGCAGATAGTTTGAAAAAAGATAAGTAAAAAAGTGATTTTGGGCCCACCATCACTATTGCATTTTCTGTAGGCCTCAATACAAAGATCCCAGATTTCAACCAGAAGACCAAAACATAGGGTGACCTTATCCTTGCTGGTGGTAGAGACAAGAGTAGCAGCTATTTGCTAAGTCATCCACAATCATCCACACGGACAGCACAACCCCAAAATTCTAGAAATACAGTACTGAGGACACTGGAAATGGCCATGGTCTATGTGAGCAGAACCAAGTAGCAGCAATATTGTTTGAAGAATAACTATGAATGACTAAGCTATTCTGAGTATATAACTCAACTACAAAGGACTTGTGAAGAAAGATGCAATCTCCAGAGAAAGAACCGATAAATAGAAGTATGCGTAGTATGGTTTTACACATATATATCTATCTATATGTACATAACACACACACACACACACACACACACACACACATATATATATGTATATATATATGTATATATATATGTATATATATATATATATATATATGTATATATATATATATATACATATATATATATATATAGAGAGAGAGAAGAGAGAGAGAGAGAGAGAGAGAGAGTCCTCTTTCGTGCAAGGTAAAGAGGGAGGGAAACAGTTCAGAAATTAAAATGCAACAAAAAAATTTAATTTTTAAAATGCATAGATAAAAAGGAAATGGCCATGACTAAATTTAGGATTTTCCCGAAGTTTTTCCAAAAACTTAAGCAAGACCTTGGGTTATAGCATTATCAAGCAAATTCCATGGGAACAATATATTTGAGAGCAATTAGATTTGGCATTCAGATCACTAGTGTCCTGTGTGATTGTGAGAAGATCACTTCAAAAATTGACAAGGATCAATTTATTTATCTATAAAATGAGAAAAAAATAACATCTGGCTTCACATGATATTTCTAGTATGTTATAAAGAAAAATTCAACAGAGTATAGTCAGTTTTATAATTTGACTTTTTACTTTTTGCAATTCAAATGGTTAAATAGCCCTTGAATTATATTCTTTTCATTCTACCTCTTTTCTTCTGACTATTGGAGAGTTATTAGGAGGGAGGGAAGGAGAAATAGAGAGAGACAGAGAAAGACAGAGACAGAGTAAGACGGAGAGACAGACAGACAGAGACAGAGAGTAGAGAGACAGAGAGAGACAGAGAGAGAGAGAGAGAGAGAGAGAGAGAGAGAGAGAGAGAGAGAGAGAGAGGAACTAGAAAGGCAAGATTATTTTCCTACATGGTTGTTATGAAGATCAAATGAGATAATATATGTAAAATATTTGTAAACCTTAAAGCATTATATAAATCCTGGCTATTGTTATTGTTTTTACTTATTAGCTGCCTTAGCATGAAACAGTATGAGATATGTCATAATTAGGTGAGTGACTTTGAATAATAAACCAGCTAAAACCTCTCTGGACATTAGTTTCTTCATCTGTAAAATGAAGAGATTGGACAAAAGGAACAGGGACTGGCAAACTACTACATTGCACAATGCATTTAAAACAGGTGTCAAGTCAGATTTGACCTACAGATCTAAGTTTGTTGACCTCTGATGAAAGGTTATTTCCATCTTTAATATTATGAGTCTGCTATTCATAGATTGAAGTTCTTGGCTAAAATAAATCTTTGGGGATTATTTATAAAATCGATTTATTGATATTATAAGCTGGTCATTTGGTGTCCTAAGTGAGAAAGAATTAGTTTTTTTCAGTACTTTGAGCACAGAAAAGCTTACAGAAATTCAATGTATAATCATCCAAAATGTGCTTTCATCTTATCTACTGTGTAGTTAATGTCAGTCCTTCACAAATAGTATGTGACATTAGATTGAGCAGAAATTTGAGGGAGTAGTTTTTAGACATATGGGTAGGGAAGAAGCTGGAATATCTTTCTCTTTGGCTAGCCCTCTTCATTTAAAATAGGAAAAATATAATAGATGTGGTATTATAGCAGGTTCTGGTTGGGGAAGTTATGAAAATCTAAGCAGTGACTATTCTCTGAAGCATATGAAATTTCCTAACTTTAGAAACTGAGCATGTCACCCAAAAATGTTCATAGAATCATACATCTAGACCTGCCAGGGACTTTAGATATATGTCATCTACAGATGAGAAAACTGAGCATGAGGGAGGCCCTTACTCTGCCAAGCAAGAGACTCTCATCTCATCTAAGGGGAAATTCCCCAAAGTCTCCAGGGAGGTAAGTTGAAAATCAGGGACATAGTAAGGTGCCAGCTCCTTTGTCTACGTTCTCCTGCTTTATAAATCTTTTCTCTATTTCCACTGGTCTCTCCCTAAAAAAGGTCTAGAACCACATGTATCTCTCTTGAAGAAGAAATAAAGAATGTCTTTCTAAATGTCTTGAACCATCTTTAACTCCTCACATTAATCATACGTGGTTGTCTTCCCACTGATCCCAGAAACATTTCTGAACAGAAACACACAAAAGACCGAAAGCTTAAAACCTGGGTTACATAAACAAAGTAAATATAAGGAAATTTCAACTGGATGGGACACTAGCATAGATACAGGGTCAAAAAAAGCTTCATGTAGAAGGTGGTGCTAGGTGGCACAGTGGATAGAGTGCAGGGGCTGGGGTCAGAAATTCCTGAATTCAAATCCAGCCTTAGACACTTGTTTGCTATGTGACCCTGGGCAGGTCACTTAATCTTGTTTGCCTCGGTTTCGTCATCTATCAAATGAACTGGAGAAGGAAATGGTAAACCACTCCAATATCTTTGCCAAGAAAACCCCAAATGGGGTCCAAAAAAGTTCGACACAACTGAAACAAATAAATAACAGCAACCACAACAACAGCTTTGTATCCTAAGGAAGCTAGGTGTCCTAAAAGGCAGAGGTAAAGAGTGAATACATTCTAATCACAAGGGAAAGCCTGTGCAAAAGCAGATAGGCGGCATGCAGGGGGGGACAACAAGTGGGCTAGTAGTGTGAGTGAAGGGAAGTAATGGAAATGTAACATGTATTAGGAAGGTGGGCCTTGCTCCAGTCAGTCAACGTGATTGTGAGTAGAACTATAGGGAAGTAGGTTGTTTGCCTAAGCCTTTCCAGTAATAGTGGTAACATTGATTTGATTACTGCTCTCTGAGCAAGAAGCAAAATAGTGTAGGGCATAGAAAGGTAGCTTTGAAGCCAGTAAGACCTGTATTCAAATCCCACCTCTGACACACACTAGCTATGTGGCCTTGGACAAATGACTTAAACAAAAGAACTTCAAAGTTCTCTCCACAACCCTCTAAGGCTTGGTAGAAAGAGTCTGCTTACTCCCTACAGGTTTCATTAATATAGAGTCTCATTCCCTATGCCAGATGTAAAAAATGGAGAGAGGGGTGGAGGAAAGGGAGGTAGTAGCAGCAGCAGTACTTTAAGTAAGATGCCCACATCAGCTAGGCTCTAGTACCCTGGTTAGATGGCTGGATAGGAGGAAGCATTGGTCTTGTCTTTCTGAAACCAGTTAGATATAGGAGTCTGAAGAGAGACCTGATCACCTCTGCCATATGTAAGTATGAAAGATGAAAATGTACATGACAGTGTGCGTAAGTAGTCATTCAATCCAGCTATCTCCACTCCAGTGTGAGTCACAAAAGTTTAAGTCATTGTGGGTGGAATGGGCAGAATTTTCAGAGGTCCTTGCCTGAAGGGTTGCTGTTCCTGGTACAGGCATACCTCAGAGATGTTGTCCATCACAACAAAGCAAATACTGCAATAAAATAAGTCACATGAATTTTTTTGGTTTCCCAGTGCATGTAAAAGTCATGTTTACACTATACTGTAGTCTATTAAGTGTGCAATAGCATTATGTCTAAAAAATGATATACCTTAATTTTAAAATACTCTATTGCTAAAAATGCTAACCATCATCTGAGCCTTCAGTGAATCATAATCTTTTTGCTGGTGGAGGGTCTTGCCTCAATGCTGATGGCTGCTGACTGATCAGGGTAGTGGTTGCTGAAGGTTGGGATGGCTGCGGCAATTTCTTACAATAAGACA